TGACTTGTTTATTTCTCCAATTCTATGAGTTTGGGGATGTGTTTTGAGTCTCTTTCATTAGGTGTGTAGATACTTACTTTGTCCCTTTAATCATTATGATGATGAGCACCAGCTCATCTTTGTCTCTAATACCTTAAGATATTTTGCCTTAAAAGTTATTTTATGAGAAATTAATATTATCACACCTGCTCCTTTTTTATTATCATTCATTTGATTTATTTTATATCTCTTGAGTTTGTATTAAGCCTATTTTTTGGTCACTGCATCTGTTGTGTACCTCATAGACAAAATATTGATGGATCTTGTTTTCTTTTTTTTTTTTTATCTTGCTTTCTTATCCATTCTGCTCGATTCTGTCTCTTGAGTGGCACATTTAATTGCAGTCAGTTTCATTATTGATAGGTTTGAATTTTATGCTGTCATTTAGCTCTGTGGCGAGTGAGTGTGTGTGTGTGTGTGTGTGTGTGTGTGTGTGTGTGTGTGTGTGTGTTTTGCTGGTTTCTTTATTTCACACAAATTTTCTGTGCTGGGCGTCAACCTCAGGGCACGGCAAGTCGGAGCATCTTGTGTCCAAAGCGATCAGTCAGGTCCTCCACGCGCTCCGCAACCAAAATAAATGTCAGGCTTTCAGCTGCCACTGAGGACAATGAGCATCAGCGCTCACTGACCAAGACTCCAGCCAGAAAGTCTCCACACGTGACCCTCTCTGGGAGTACCCCAAAAGGCCCTGCTGAGCTCGGGACACGCACGGTGAAGACCTCCCAGGTGGATTCTGCTGCGAGTATTACCCCCTTCACGCTGCCCACCGAGGCAGCATAGACACCCGTGTCCAGTAGGAAGCCAGTGTTTGATCTCAGAGCCAGTTTGTCTCGACCCCTCAACTACGAGCCACACAAAGGACAGCGGAAGCCCTGGGGACCACCTGAAGAAAATACTTCTCTGCATGAACCTGTGAGCAGCGCGAGCTTCTGTAAGAAACCTCCTCTGCGGACCAGGGAAGAGCAGTGGAAGAAGCACCAGCAAGAGCGACGGGAGAGCGAGCAAAGGTTGTGGGAGCTCGAAGGGGCCTCGCTGTGGTGCAGTGTAGTGACTTCTTAACACTCTGTAAATAGTCTGTTATTCTAGACCTTTCCCCTCCCACCCACACCCCTCCCCTCGCCCGCCTCCCCCTGCCTCCCCCTCCCCCGCTTCTGTACGTAGTTTTATGCTGTCTTCGTTTTCTTTCATCAAAAGACCTTCTTTACTCTTAACTCTTTTCATATGTAGTGCCTGTGGCCGCTTCATCTATCGCCTCTCTGGGGGAAAGTATCCCCGTGGAGCTGAAGGTAACGGTTGAGAAGAGGGAGATGCTGGGAGAGGAAGGGCATGCCTTCAAGGCCTGGTACAGAAAATCCACTGATCTTAATAAAATACGGGCCATCGGCTTTGATTAGTTCATCGGTATTCTATCTATGTACCGTTGTTTTTACTTACAAGCAGCTTTGTTAGGGTCATTTCATGTAACTTCAACCTGTCCCTCATTATATTCTCAAAAACAAAACTTCAGTTCATTCTGGCTTTGCTTACTTAAAACTAAAAGGCACAGTCACCTGGAAATGTAAGGATCGCTTCTTGAAAGATTGCTGTGTCCTGTCGAGCTAGCCCCTTATGGAATATTTAGAAAGGATTAGATTTGCTGAGCATCATAACCATCTTTGTTGTAATTTAGTGGAGCTGTAGAATTTTGTACTGCCTAAGATTTTCATAAATAAATGTTGTTCTCATTAAAAAAAATTTCTGCGCTGGGTTTATTCTGTTTGTGGTTTTCTTGTCGTTTTCTTCATTGCTCTTTTAATTGACAAAAATATTTATGATTTTCCTCCATGTTATTAGGATAAACTTTATTTTCTTTGAGGTTACCTTGCATTGGATTAATTTCTTCCCAAATTTAAAATAATCAGTTGTATCTTGAAATCTACTTGACTTCCTCTTTATTTTTCAGTCTTTTGCATTTATTTTACTTGGCGTACATCTTGATCTGGATGGATTCCTCAGTGGTGTTAGGTGTGTGTTCATTTCTGGTTGCTATCTCGTGTTGCATCCTCAGTGGTTTTTGTAAGATTAGTCTAGTTTTTACAAAATCCTTTCCTTTATGTTCATCTGTGAATGCCCTAATTTCACTGTTGTATCTGAGGATGAGGGGTGGGCAGGATAGGTTTTGATAGGTATGTCACTCCTGGTTGACAATATTTTCCTTTCAGAGTTTTGTGTCTATCATCCCATTGCCTTCTTTCTTGCATGGTTTCTGCTGAGAAATCAGAGCTTAGACTTATTGGTTCCTGAACTTTGTTGGGTAACATCTCATTTTTCCTGAGTTGCTTTCAGGATTCTTTCCTTGACTCTGGTTTCAGGAAGTTTGATTATGATATGTTGTGTTCATTTCCTCTGGGATATATACTGTTGGGAGACCCTTGACTTCTTGATTACGGAACTTATCATCTTTCCTCATGTTATGGGACGTTTCTCCCAAGAATCCTTCGATAATTTCCTTTGTGCTTTTTAAAATCTCTCTTCTGGAGTTCTGATCACACGTTATTCCACTTGATGATATCTCACATAATTCTTAATCTTTCTTTGGATTTTTTTGGAGGGGGGGTTGTTCCTTTTTATTTTGACTGTAGCAGATCAGCATTGAGAGATTTATCATCAAACTCAGTAATTCAATCCTCCCTTGCTTCATGTTTACCCCGTTTCCAATACAGTCCATTTATCTTCTTCTGACTTCTTAGTAATACGTTTCTGGATTTTTATTTGCTGTTTTTATATGGTATCTAATACTTCATTTATTTGGTTGGTTCTTATATTATTTTCCTGATTTCCTGAATTTTTCTAAAGTTTTTTCCGGTTTTTTGTTTGTCTCTTCATGTATGAGTCCTTTAATGTCATTCAGTGACACATCCGGTCTTCGGTCATGAGTGTTCCATGTGTCATATAGGTTCTTGAGATGGTTTCCAAATTCAGTGGGATATGCTCAGGGTCATACTTTGGCTCTCCTGGGCTTGGCTCAGTTTTCTTCAGATTCATTTGAATCTGCATACGAGCAGTTGATCGTCTGTTGCACCGTCAGCCCCTAGCCATGTTCTGCCTGATGGTATTGAACTTCTCCATCACATGTAGTTCACTTGATGCCTGTGTATTCCTTCTGGTGAGTCTGTGTAGTCACTGTTGATATTAGTGTAAGAAGGTGTTTGCAATGAATATGTTGTTGGTGTTCCAAAATAGCATGCAATACCCAGCATCGTTTCTATAACAAAAGCCGTATTTCTCAACTACTGATCCTTCTTTGTTTCCAACTTTCCCATTTACTTACCAGCAATTATCAATGCACCTTGATTCCATGTTTGAGCAATATCGACCTTCAGAAGTTGGTGACAGTTTTCCGCGTCTTCATCTGTGGCATTACCAGTTACTGCTTAGATGTGTTAGACAGCTCTTTAGCTGCATCAGGAAATGCCAGGGGGAATCCTACTTTATTAGGAAGCCTCAGCCCAAAGGAACTTGGCTTTCTTGCTTCCTGGGACCAAATGCACACTTGCAGCTCTCTTGATCTGGGTGCTGAGAAGCCCACCAAACCTCCTCTTGGTACTGGTTTTGCTGCCAGCATTTCTCTGCTGCTGGACCATGCCATGCTTGCCCTCACTTCTTGCTTCTGTGTGCCACCTCTTGCTATCTTCAGTGTTACAGTCTCTATCACCTGGTCCGGGAGGTTCTCGGTACAGAGACCCTAGGTCCAAAGAGAGCTCCTCTCCTGTCTCTCCTTTCTTAATGGCAGTGCTGTTCTCCCACCCTACCCCACCCTCTGCCACCTTCTTGCCTCTAGGCTGAGCTCATGTTAAACCTAACTGGATGGCAAATCTAACTGATCCCCTTGTTAGGACTCCATGCACCTTATCTGCACCAGTAACAGGCTGTCCAGTCCCCGGGGTGGGCTACAGCATTTGATTTGCATAGTCTCACCAGTGATGGTATGGGTGTGCCACGAAGACTGTGGCTCTAAGGGCCATACTGAGCCATTTACTTCACCACACCGGCTGTCCTTTCAGCTCTCTTGGAATTGCCCGTCATATAAAATCAAACTTCAAACTCACTGCCATTGAGTCTGTCTGGCTTGTGGCCACCTTCCAGGACGGGAGAAGTGCCCATGTGGGTTTCCAAGACTGACTCTTTATGGGAACAGAAGGCCCCGTCTCTCTCCTGTAGATTGGCTGTTGGTTTCAAACCGCCAACCTTTCAGTTAACAGCCTAACTCATAATCACTATGCCACCAGGGTGCCTATCCTTCAGATAGAGACTAAGAGAACCCTGAACTTCACATTGTAGAAGTGCTTTTTCTTCATTTCCTTCTTTGCTGCAGTCCAAGAGAGCTCACAGGAAAGAAGTTTATTCTTACAGATTTAGGAGTCCAGCCTTCTCTGACTTAATACAAATGTGTCTTAAAAGACAGGTTTAAGAACAGGCCTTACCCCCCCCCCCCTAATCCAGGGACAGTTAAATGGCAGTATAAAGCCTGGCACTTTCTTAACTGTAGCACTTGTTGAGAGGAACTAGGGTTTCCTCTCCTGGGAACTTTTCTCGGGGTGTGTGTGTGTGTGTGTGTGTGTCTGTCAGAGAGAGTGACTGAACATGAAAGCCATGTGTATTAGAAAGGAAACAACTTGTCGCATGGGAGAATGCTCCTTCAGAGAGAAGGATGATGCCTCACCACTTTGAAAGTGTGTATCGAGATTCCATACAGAGTTTCTACCCTTCTCACAAGTGTGAGTCCCGTGTGTGCTGATCGCGAGCTTTGTTTCATTCAGTCCTTTCGTCGAGAAAGTGAAGGGTCCTTCCCCTTCACATCGGATGTCTCCATGGGAAGGTCAGGCGGGTGTGTCTGGAACACCGAGAGCCCTAACACCTGTCCTTCTGTTGCAGGTGCAACAATGAAAGCGAGTGGCCCCAGATCCACGAAAACATCATCCGGAAGTCCAGCGCCAAGTACTCGGCCCCCAGCGCCAGCCATGGTGATGTACTTCTCTGGCTAGAGAGCTTTGTGTTGCGTTGGCCGTTGCTAGCCACATAGCCCCTTGATGGGTTGGTGCCGAGGCTGCCATCTGTAAAGTTCATCTCTCTCTTGCCCAGGAGCTTTCTACTATCTTTATTTTATGATAACTTGAGACCCTACCTAACCAGTGCTGACCGAAATGCAGTGTCTGTGGTGCTCATGATGGATTTGATTTAAATCCAGAGTAAGCAAGCATGCAGCTGGCTGGTCCCATTGTGCAGAGGAGTCTGTGTTTTCCTGGACAGAGACTGGATGCCCAGCCCAAAGAGATGGCTATTAGAAGCACTCCTCATTGTGTGTCTCTTCTGTGCTAGCGTCTCCAAGAGAGTCTGACACTAATGGGAACTGGTGATTAGCCTGCCAGTATCAATCACCCTGGAACCAGAATAGAAACGCTTTATTGCAAAGCGTCTTTCATCTCACCTCAACTTCTTACCCTCTATACATTTTTTTTCTCTTAAATGTCTGTTTAAATAATTTCTATCTCAATATCACTGCAGATCTACACAGTAGAAGGTTTGTGTTTTATAAATTGAAATCTTAATTGCTTGATGAAATTAGAAGCATTCTTTAAAAGTCTATGAGACTTTGAATACTATTGAAGATAGCTATCAAATTCACAGAGAGTCATATTTCTCCTGGCAGGGCTTAACTCATTTCATAACCTCTCTTACATAACCTTCTTAATTTTAACTTTCGTGGACTTCATTGGAAGTAAGAGATGGCCTTGTGTCGTAGTGTAAACACATAGTGGTTTCTAAATAATATTTGTCAAGAAGAACGTTTTGCCTCTTTTCCAAGTCAGCAAATAAGCAAGAGTCCTCAGAGCAGCTGCAGAGTGTGAGACCCTCAGCTGGGAGCCCGGTCCCTCTGAGAGTGCGGGTAGGTCCTTGGGCTGCTGTCACTGTTATGAGTGGCTGCCTTCTGTTCTCTGTATACTTGCGTGCCTAGGAGCGCTGTGTAGTTTGCTCAGTGGAGAGGGGGCCTCTATTCCTCACCTAATACTAGGCAAAACCAAGGCAATTAAAATCTTGTTTTTAAAGTACGGAAGCATTCCTAGTGATTTGGGGAAAATCCCCTTTACATTAATATGTACAGCCAAGGGCATCTCTTTGTTGTATTGACTTATTTGATTTATGAAGGGCTCGTGACTATGCATCAGTGGATCGTGATATTGGGGGAAAGCACTCTGAAAGTGTGAGGGTGATAGAGATGCATAAAAGAAACAATAGACAGGGCCGTGCCCCACCTCCTCACCAAGTGAAGATGATGGCTTTTGTCCTACCCCAGAGCAGCGGTGCCCAACCTGTGGGTCGAGACCCCTTTGGGGGCTGCCCCATTCATCACAGCAGCAAAATGACAGTGATGAAGTAGCAACAAGAACAATGTGATGGTTGGGGGTCACCACCACATGAGGAACTGTGTGAAAGGGTCGCAGCACGAGGGAGATTGAGAAGCACTGCCCTGGCGTGAGCAGGGACTGACTGCCATCGTCAGCATCTGTGGCTTTTGTCCAGAATTCAGACACTGGCTATTTAGACAGTGGTAGAAGGCGCGTACCCCTCTGGCCTGGGTTTGGGAAGTTGCACCCCAGACTCAGAGACCCAGTGAGGGTGGTCCAAGGGAGAGGCCATTTTGGTGCAGTGGGGAAAGCTGGGAGAGGACTGGGCTCCTTCTCTTGGAAGTGTATGTCCAATTGCTTCCTGATTTGGAAGCTGCTGAAACCCTGGATGTGATCTTTTTCGGCCCTCACATTAGATAAACGAGGAAACTGAAGCTTGGTGAAATGATTGAGTGGCAGAGGCAGGGTTGAGCCCAGGTCTCCAGCCCCAGCACACTAGCCTTTCTTCCCAAGGGCGAAGCGTTGGAGCCTGGGTTTCCCGCTGTGGGGCTGGGGTTACACCTTCTGACAGTTTAACACATTGCTGGGTTAACAATACGGCAGTTTAACTCTTTATTTATCTACTCAGAGATGCAGCTTTACCAAAAAAAAAAAAATTACTTTGCTGTAAACTTCCAAACCATCTTAGTTTAAACAATATGGATAATTCATTGCCTTGATCCTTCTATTTCAGCAAATAGTACTGCTTTTCCTTAGAGTTATATCTTATTAAAATGCAGAAGGAATTGCTACCTTCACATTGGAAGCTGAGAAGAAGTATGTCACTCAACAACTCTCTTACCTGTAGCTGTACTACTTTTGGCTCTTTTTCTCCAGTTTGGACCCCTGAGGTGTGTAGCCATGGACTGAGCTCTTAGCAATTCCCGTAGCTGAAAGGTCATTAAGAACAAGTTTTAAAAGGCTGAAAAGTCAAGTTTTTCTTACATAGAGATTTGCTATGAAAAATAAAGATCAATAAGGTATTTGGCACACCGGCTTTTCATGTGTTTCAAATTGCTTTTAACTGTAGCTTTGTTTCAGTATTGTGGGCTGAGAGTAATTTACCCTAATCAGTCTCACCCAGTTCTTCCGTGGATTGGGGTGGGAGGAGAAGCCTGGTTGCTGGCCCTTCAGTGCCACGTAAGCGGCAGTTTGACCAGTGCCATCTAAAGGGAACCATCTTTACCCGCAGACAAATTCAGTCACAAAATGGTTTGTGTGCGTTTTCAGTGTGGGGGTGGTCAGGTGTCAAGTGATGAAAGAGACCAGATGACCAGAACAATTTTGTAGAATTTCAGTTATTTGGCTGGAGAGCCCCACTGAAAGGGTTGGTCGGTAGAGCACCCAGGTCTTACCACAGACTGCAGGTGGGCAAGGGGGTGGCTCTTCTGGACCATTATTGGAGGCTCTCTCCCCGAGGACCATGCCTTATTTGGCATAGTTCTTAATCACCCAGCGTCTCAGCACCAGGAAGGAAAGCGCTGTGTTTTAGGGTCTTGGCCCCTGCAAAGGGGAATGGCGTTTTCGTAGCCTCCGTTTGGGACTTCTGTCCTTGGCCACGTGCCCCGTCATCTGCATGATCTCCTACATAAGCTGGAGCCCTGGGCTCTCTTGGTCACCTGGATCAAGACATGGAAAGCCAAGCATGATCCTCCCCAAACGTCTGTCTTTCCTTCAAGTGTGCTTTGCAGCTTGGGGCCAACGTGGCTGCTGAGCACATGCGGAGAAGATGGCCAGCGGCTGAGTGCTGAGTGAGCCTGGCCGATGGCCGTGAAAGCCTGGCCAATGGCCGTGAATGAGCCTGGCCGATGGCCGTGAATGAGCCTGGCCAATGGCCGTGAATGAGCCTGGCCAAGGGCGTGTGAGAAGAGTGACCTCTTCGCCTCTGCTCTCAGGCCATCGCTCCTGCAATGTGGAGGAAACGGGCCTGCCCCCGATGGGCATTTGCGGGGCTGGATGCAGATTTTGTGCATTCAGATACGTGAGCTGGGTGGCGGTGGGGTGGGAGGGAGGGTAGGAGAGGCTCCTACTGGGCTCTCTTCTGCTGAGACCATTGTGGCTGGAGGTCTGCCCCAGGCTCACCGTGGAACAGCAGTTTCGATCACCAGATGCTTAGGCTGTCACAGAATCATTCAGGGTGGTCGGTATCCTAGACATTGATTACCTAACCAGTTGGAATGCCAAGTCCCTGTCTGTAAGGGCACAGATCCTATAATCCAAGGATTTCTTGGGGAGCATGAGTTTAGCAAATGCAATCCTGTGTCTTGGACTTTCTTCCACAGATCCCGCCCCGAGATAGTGTCTGGATAGCTCGTTAGAGACAGTATCTGCGACCCTTCTGTGTGGCTTCTCCCTGCTCCCCACCTTCCTCCCCGTTCCCAGGCCCTTCTCACTCTGCGCTTCTGCCTCTAGCCACCACCCTTCGGATGCCCCTCCTTCCATCGTTTCCACACGTGTTCATCTTCTACTCAGGGAGGGCACCCTGCTGTCAACAGCTGGTCCTCCCTACAGCACAGCGTCCCAGATGCAGCACTTCTTGATTCTTACCTCTTACAACCTTCCGGCTCGGAGCTGCAACGAAAGCACACTGGGAGTGGGGGGTTGGTTGATTCCAGGAGATTCTAAGGGTATAAAACTCCTGGGGAGCAATGAGCCGGAAACCAGCTCACCTGAGTGTGCTTTATGGATTCTCCCACATTCTAAACCGAGTCCCCGGGGTTCATCTGAAGAGCCTGAAACTCCCACTTAGCTGAGGCCAGGCTTCGTTAACACCACCAACAAAACACCCCTCGGATTTTATCACCCTTTGGGCAGTGTAATGGTGCTTCTCTCTCCATGACTTGATTTACAAGTCACCGACGGCAAGGCTGCCCCAACATGGTGCACTTGGACGTATTCCTGGCGTGGAATACGGTAACGCTTAGCTTCTTTATTTCCAGCTTGTCGCTCTCTGACTTGGAAACCTCTTCAGTCACACCTTTCCTAGTCTGCCTCGATATTGTTCGGGTAGACATCTCCGGGTCCCTAAATGAGGACCCAGCAGGCCCTGGGCTGGACCCTGGAGCACACAGAGGACCGTAACCCAGTCTCCCAGGCGGCAGGCTGCGTGAGGAAGCCACTTCCCTGGCTTCTTTAGGCCCCCTTGGTGGAAATCCCTCTTGTCTCCTAGACTGTCTTCAAAATAACTTCTACTTTCTTGTGCATTGAAACGTTTCCCAAGAGAAATGTTGAGCTTTGTGCCTCTTGTGTCTTTCTTGTCCTCGTGACTGAGTGGACCAGCGGCTCGGAGTGAGGCAAGGCTTCGTTTGCTTTGTTTCCTGCAGGTCTTATCATTTCTCTGCAGCTTCTCCGTGGAGACATGGAGCAGATGCGGAGAGAAAGCCCCATGATATTCAGTAGGGGATTGGCCGTCACAAGGAAACTGGGATTTCCTGATGTCATCATGCCAGGTACGTGGAACTGCTTGGGGTGGGGGGGAGGGTTGAGGAGGACGCACCCAGCGCCCCTCTCCTGAGAGGTGGTAAATGGTGTTGTCTGTGGAGGAACTGTGGAGCCGCCAAGCGCTTCCACAACCAGGTCACACTGCGGACTGCAGCGTGTACTTAGACCCTCTGGCTCTTGCAGGTGTGTGCCTCCCCCCAGCCCCCGCCTCACCGTCACCAGCCCACTTGCCAGTGCAGGGGATGGGCGTGGCTCTTCCCACGAGGCGGAATGGCAGGAACTCACAGGACAGTGCTCTTGACCTCTCTCTCCTGTCACATTCCGCAAGGAGAGTTGCCTCTCGGGAACCTCTTGTTTAAGGGGAAGAAAACATGAACATAGGTATCGGCAACGTCCGAGTCCCAGGCCATGTGGGACTGTATCGGGAGCTCCAATGCCACAGTGCTGGGCCGCTAACCAGTGTCGGCAGTTCAGACTCACCAGCCTCTCCCCTCCTCTGCTTCTGTAGAGACCACTGCTGCGGGAAGCCCTGTCCCGCGGGGCCCTGTAGTTGGGATAAGTGGGCAGCAGCGAGGTAGGCTCTCTCAGGACTTGCCTCACTGCCCTCACGGAATGCCCGAAGGACAGCGAGTGCAGAAAGTAGGAATGCTCTGAACCTGGTGGGACCCCAATGGGTCAGTCCCCGACACGTGTCTCCTGCTCGGGCAGTGGATCCAAACAGGCCAGGAGAGCCAAGTGGACCATGGGGAGTGAGGGGGAGGAGAGGCCTGGCTCAGAGATGGATGGCAGGTCCTCTGATCACCAGAGAGGACGTGAACAAGGGACAGGAAACGGACCAACCCTCTGGTTTAGTTTTGATGTCTGCTAGAAGCCTTTGCCTTGTTGCAAAGGCCCAGGCCAGATGAGCCCAGCAAATCGTGGCCGCTCTGCAGATCACCAGTTTTGGAGCTCCTCATGCCATGTTTGCTATTTCCAGCAGATGCCCAAAGGAGAGCGTAGCGGAATATAGAGAAGGCCAGGTGCTGAGCTCTAGCGGAGCTACTTTCTGGCCTCCCAGGTGATGCCAGGGTCCCTCTCCTGTGGCTCTCACACCCTTCGCGGGCATTGAACACAGAGCTGGAAGCTGGGCAGAGCCTTGGACTCCCTGTTCAAACACCCAGGGGAGCCTCCTTATAGGTGGGGAGCCCAGGTCGCTCGATCAATTCTGTGTTGTTTTTGCATCTTTAAGGAAGCCCCTGGCGTATGAAAGGGCCCAGTCTGACTCTTATAGGGGTGACTTGCTCCTCAGTTTCTCCCGTGTGCCCCTGACACCATTCCTCAGCCCCCCTTGGGCCTGGTAAGCAGGAGATACACAGTTACTGGCTTCTTGGGAATGTGACTTTAAAGAAAGGCCTGGCAGCTACAGTGAGCTGGTGATCATTTAGCTCAGGCGTCCTCAAACTACGGCCCGCAGGCCACACGCGGCCCGCCGAGGACATTTGTCTGGGCCTCTGGGTGTTTTTACCCCATTTGGGGTTTTTTACTTCAAAATAAGACGTGTGCTGTGTGCACAGGAATTTGTCCATGGTTTTTTTTAAACTATAGTCCGGCCCTCCAACGGGTCTGAGGGACAGTGAACGTGCCCCCTGTTTAAAAAGCTTGAGGACCCCTGATTTAGAGCGTAGGTCAGAGTCCTGCTGTAACATCACGGAGACCATCCTAACAGACACATCAGCAAGTGAAGCAGCTCCTGCCGCGCACAGAGCCTCCGTCGACCTCCGCGCTTCCCTGAAACTCCCACTCTGCCACCCACACAAGTCACAGAGCCGCCGTGTCGCCCTCCAGGGACCACCGTGTGACTTTGAAGTGTCCCCTGGGTTTGAGAGCGACAGGAAGTCTGACTGCGCAAGCCAAGGCCTGGAGGGAGGCTTCGGGGGGCCGTTCTCACAGGGAGGCCCCACCGCTGCGCTCCCTGAACAAGCACGCGGCTGTGCTGGGAAGAAAACAAGAGCCCTGGGCATAACTTTTTCTTGCTTTTTCACCAATGCTATTTTCCTTAAACTCCTTCCTAAGAAGCCCTGGCGATCATCCAGTGACCTTAGAGAAAATCTTTCACAGTCACCCTTCAAAGTCCCCAAACAACGGTCACCGTCACCTTCTGAGCTGACCTCCCCACCTGGAATTGAGCTGACCTGAGATCCCTTGGGAAGTTCCTGTGTTGACGCGACCTTATTTTTCCCTTTCCTTTCTTCCTTTTTCGTTCATTCTTTTTCAACGAAGGCCCTGATGAAAGACGAGCATGGTGGCGAGAGCGCGTCTTGCTTCAGCACGTTTTCTTTGCAGCACAGCCCTATGCGTGCCTGTGTGACCTGGACCCCCAGTCGCAGTGCTTTGTGGCTCACCCTCAGACACTAAGAGAAGATGTCCTTGCAGTCCCCCTTTCCTGAGAACCGACGTGTGTGACTGGAAATCCCCTCCCGATAGCCTGTGCACAGGCGGAGCGTGAGCCCCACTGGGAAAGGCGCACACTGCAGTCAGACAGCGCCTCGTGAACCTCAGTCTCGGGAGCTGAACCCTCATAGCCACATCCCTGGGAAGGGGCTTTTGGTGGCAGGGTGGGCATAGGCCCTGCGGACCCTGTCCTCGGGGACAAGCTAAGACTAAAGGGGGCTTGTCCTCTCCTAGGCTGCTGGTAGGTCATCCCACGAAGGACAAAGGGGGTCGGTTCTAAGAGGCACAGGTTGGGACTGTGCGTGTGCTGCATTCTGCCTCTGAAGTACTAAGTCGCTGACAGTAGGGATTGATTTCACTTTTAGGAAGAGGTTCTGTGCAAAGAATCTGTCCCTTCTCTACCCTCGTGGAGTAGGTCCAGCCCTCCCTGTGGCCACTCACAGGGTGTGGGTTGTAAGCAACTGGCAGCACCTAGGTAAGACCCCAAGATAGGATCAGAGTGAGTTTGCCATCCTCAGAAACAGTGCTAAGACTGGTGACCGGGACAACTGGAAAAGTGTGCAGGAGACGTATTTTGTGTGTGGTCCGAGGACCTGCCCTGAGAGTTCCTGGACCAGGAGGTCCATTGACAAGTCCTGCACCCCGACCACCCATCCACTCCTGGCTGGTCTGCCCTGCACCCTGACAAGGTCAAGACCTGATTAGACCTTGGCCAACAGAGACATGCCACTACCCTTTACATCTCTGTTTCCGAACTCTCTTGGCAAGTCGGTGCCCTGGAGACATTTGAAATGCAGAGTCCTGGCCTGGCTCCCTGGGACAGTACACTGGTGTCTAAGGCTGTCACTGACGGTGTGTGATGTGGGCCGAGTTTCATACTGGGTGATGCCCTGTCTATCAGAAGGCAGCTCGGTTGGCCCTGCAGTGTGATAAGCTAGTGTAGCCGACGAGGAAGGCATCCCTGAAACAGGGGCTCTCTCCCCTGAGGGGGCCTCCGGATCACCCATGGAGCACACCCCAAGAGTTTGGGTCCAGGAGGGTTGGGTGAGAGCCTGAGAACTGGCAGTTCTCGTGAACTGTCAGGTGATGGGGATGCAGACGGGCCCTAGCCCTGTGCGACTCGTGTCCTAGAGAGGATTCTGTTGTGGGGATTTGTTTCCCCTCCTTGAGTTACGACTTGGGGAAAGTGCTGCTTCTCTCAGCTTGCCCTGAACTCGCCAGTTAGAAGGCACCTTTGTAGACATGGCATCCCTATAGGGGGCCTTCTGACCTTGGCCCTTGCGCTCCAAAATACACGCTGCCCTTTGATTTGATCCCTGACCCCAAAGTGCCTGCCTCCTCACTGACCTGCAAGCAATGTTCCTCTCCTGTTTCCTGTCTGTGTTAATTGTTGTTTCTCTCTGTGCTGCCCCCCATTCTCGCCCCTTTCTTTCTGGTGCAGAGATGAAGATAGTTGGGTGTAAGTTTTCCTTTTGTGTGTTCTGTCCACTTCTTGCCTGCTTTGACCCCATCTTCATGAGCTTCATGGAATGTTGCAATCCTGGGGCGGGGCGCCATACACATTATTAATCCTTCATCTTCCTCACCTTTTGTGAGTAACCGGCAAGATGCAAAAAGACAAGCTACCAGCCCAATGTGGGAGGCCTTGCTCCAGGTGTTCATTATTAGGAACCAAGGGAACTTAGGACAGAGGAAGGTTGAGGAAACCTCTCTTTAGAGGTGAAAGAGCAGAAATCGATGCAGGGAAGGATTTTTATGAAACACCAACTACTTCCGTTTAAAAGAAAATGAGTAGTCGCAACCACAGAGACCCAGAGCGAGCTGGGGCACAGCGCATCCAAAGGACAGAGGCAGGCGTGGCGTTTGGAAGACCGTGGCCCCAGGGAAGTGATGGCATGATTACCACGAGGAGGTTCTCAGGACGGGGGTCCGTCAGAGGCTGGAATAAGGCCTCGCCAATGTCTCTGAGGAGAGATTTAGGAATTGACATACCTGGGTTCCTAGGAGACTGGCCCAAACCGGATGGAGCGTGTGTGCTGATGTGGCGCTCTGCCCATGTCTGCGGCCTGATGAAGCAGAGGTCATCACTGACTTCGTACACCTACTCCTCACAGGCACGGTCAGGTTCCAAGACCTAGTTGTCATCTGCACGAGCCGGCCGCCTCCGTGGTCCCTGACGCCAGCACCCTCCTTATGCCCCAGGTGCATGTGGTACCGGGACCTCCCTCTCCCACCATACTCTCCCTTCGGCCTTGGAGTCTACAGAAGGTATTTGGGGTAGGGGGGAGATCAGGGGTTGCCCCCCACTTCTGGAGCAACTATCACCTGGTCACTCCCTGGGCCTCCATGTGACCCCCACTCCTTGCCCCTTCACCTTCTGCTCTGAGCCCCAGGGCGAGCCTTAGCAGCGGGCAGCCTACAGGCGGGGAGGCCCGCTACCTGGGCCTAGTGGAGGCTGTAGGGGTAGCAGAGGAGCTTCCTTGGGACAAGTGACTGCCCAGCCCCTCCCTCATTCCTGTGACCCTGGCTCCTGCTGCCTCCCTGCACTGCCCACCCTGCTCCTCCACCCAGCCTGTGC